TCCTCAGGCTCTCATCTGTTGTTTCAAAGCTCAAACCTCCGATGAAGAGTTTCCGCAGCTGTTCGGGCTCTTTAGGAGACTCTGACTTAGACATGACGGCGGTGATGGGGAGAAAAAAAAAAAGACAATGCTTCCTCCGCGGTGTCCACGAGCAGAAAAGCCGAATTTGTTTTTATAGCTTTATTCTGTTCTTGACTCTTCCATTTGTCGATTGACTTCTGGGTGATGCTGCCACATATGTCAATCTCTGGTTGTTGTCTGTCTTGTTGGTTCTCAGTGCACAGAAATTCCTTTAGGATGTTTTTCATAGCAGGGTTGGCTTTGGCAAAATCCCTTAGCTTCTGTTTATCCTGGAATGTTTTGATTACACAGTTGTATTTGATTGATAGCATTTCTGGGTAGAGGATTCTGGGTTGGCAGACTTTTCTTTCAGGGTTTTATATATGTCTCCCTATTGCCTTCTTGCCTGCATGGTTTCTGTTGAGAGATCTGAGCTTAATCTGATTTGCTTGCCTTTGTATGTTACACTTCTCTTTTCCCTAGCTGTTTCCAGGATTCTGTCCTTATCTTTGATTTTATAGAGCTTGATTATTTTATGTCTTGGTGATTTTCTTTTAGTGTCTATTCTTCCTGGGGTCCGTTGAGCTTCTTAAATGCTTATCTTTTTGCTTTGCAGGATGTTAGGGAAAATTTCTTCCAGTATCTCTTCAATTATCTCCTCTGTGGACTTGTGTGATTTTTCCTGTTCCGGAATGCTGGTAATTCTTAAATTATTCCTCTTCATGTTGTGCAATGTGCATGTTAGACCTTCTTCAGATTTTTAAAATCTCTTTTTTCTTTAAATTTTGAGGATATCTGTGAGCATGTTCTTCTATCTTAGTAGTATTGAGAGATTTGTCTTTCAGCTCACTATTTCTGGCTTCCATCTCTTTAATTCTACTCCTTTTCCCTTTCAGTGTATTGTCCATTTCTGATATTCTATTACTAATTGTTTGGACCTCTTTCTGTAGGTTTTGAATTGTTTCCAATACTGTATCTGTCTTACCTGTTCCTGTAGCGCTTTCCAGACTTCTTCCTTATTTTTCTCAACTCCATTTTTAAGTGTTTAAAAACATTTTATAAATATTTTTTCTGAATTCCTTCTCAGGCATTTCCAAAGCCTGCTCATCTTTCAGTATGGAGTGTAGGTCTCCCTCCAGTAATTTGTCTCAGTTACTTTATCTTGTTT